AAGATACTTCAATTCATTGATTGCCTGTGGATACAGTAAATTTTATGGAGAAAAAACATCTGATGACTATAAACAATAATTTACAGTTTTTGAGTAAAAGTACATTTGATATAACTTTATATCATCTGTGCAAATTGTGCACTATATAAGAATGTTAGTTTCTCACACATCGATCGATCTTCTGATGCTAACATTCATTTGTGCACTCGTTTTCAAAAATATTTTAGATTATCTATAATCATAAAATCTTCTTTGAATTTCAATAAACAATCATCAAACTGTATATCTGTGTAAAATAATTATTAAAAGATTGAATTGAAAATGGAAAACGAAATAGAAAATGTGGAACAACAACTAAATCTATTGAATAAAACAATGCCGAGAAAACGATCTAAATCAAAGTAATTTAACTACGAATAATTCTATAGAATATAAATTCAATTGAACTTTTTCAGAGATCAACGATCACAAACTGTTTCTCACGTAGTAACTCAACATTTACGGGCTATTTTATTATTATTCGCAGTTGTCGCTACAGGAATTATTGCAATCATTTATATTCCTCAACTTATGAATAAGAATGATGAAAATATTGTTCTGAAACAAGGTAAATTATCAGTCGGAAAATAAAATTTTTATTTCAGATGATACAAAAACAATTGAAATTTATCTCTTTTTTTTTAAATAATTAAAGGAAAATTCTTTGGTAGAAATCCTTATCAACGAGGAGGTTCAAATGATGATTATGGTTTAAATCGCAATCGAAACAAAAAAATGCAATCATTTCTTCGACGCGTAAGTCTTTTTTTATTCTCTCAATGATATTAATTATTTTAAAATGAACAAAAGCATGGTCCATCTGAAGCAATTGGTCGAGTTATTCTTTTCTTCAATCAACCAACAGACAATGGAAATCGAAGAACTCTACGACGAGTACATATCCCTGCCATTCGATATGATCGACGACGATTTTGTATGTTGATCTATTTCTTTGATGAATTTTATTATTCTTTTGTAGCTTTGGGAGAAAACTTTACAAAATATATGCTGTCAACTCCAATATTTGCCCATCGATTTACTAAAGAAATCATTATTTATTCATTAAGATCAGGTAAATCATATTTCTATAGAGAGAAAATCAATTCGGATAAAATATTTTAAAGTTTACATTTTACCTTCATTGATTGATGCTGATGACAAACAATATTCAATTGCTTCACTTGTTGCATCTGGTCACATTAGTTTAGTTGATCCAAGAATAAGATCAACTAGTTCATCGGATATGACAAATTATTTTCGATCAACACCAAGTCAGTTCTCTTCTCAATATGCACATCATCATTTTATTATTATTAATTATATATTATAGTAACCGGACCGGGTATTCCTGATATAGATATGGAAATGGGAGGATTTTCTGATGGTATGCATACGAACATCGGCTCCTTCGGTACCGATGATGAAGACGAATATGAAAACGAGTATCGAAAACCATCGCGTGGAAAAAATAAATATGATCCAACACGAACTCGTCAGACACGTGAGTGAATTTTGAAAGAAATCAATCGAAAAGATTCATTCTTCTTCGTAGAATCACCAAAAACTTCGAAAACATCAACAACTTCAACGACAACGATGAAAAGTACCACGACTTCAACAAAACGTACAAGAAGTAAGTGTTTTCTCTCAATATAGAATTAAAAAAACTTCTATATCTCTTCAGAATCAATTCCACCTCGTAAACCTGTTAATGTAAATATGACATTAATTCTGGATTATATTTATCCATATCCACAATCGAAAAAAACCGTTATATCTGTGAATTATTCCTGTCCAGGTCCTTTAATTGAAGCTTATGAAAATGATACTTTGATCATTCGAGTAATCAATCGATTAGATGTTCCATCAGGTATCCATTGGCATGGAATTTTACAATTTTGTACTCCAGATATGGTCGGTGCTATTGGTGTTACACAATGTGCAATATCTCCAAATCATGAAATGATTTATGAATTTAAAGCAGAACCAGCAGGAACATTATGGTATCATGGACATCTTCTTGAACAATATGCAGATGGTTTAATTGGTCCATTAATTATTCGTCGTCATGATGAATATTATAATGAATTATATGATAGTGAACAAACACTTTTAATTTCTGATTGGTATAATCTTCGTGCACATCATGATTTGATGTCTTGGCATTCAAATGTTTTAAATCCATTTGGTCTTCCTCCTCTTCCAAATGCAATTGTTGTCAATGGGAAATTTACTCAATCATTGTTCATTCCACTTTCTGGTTCTAAACATATTCGATTTCGAATGTAAATAGTGCTATTTATTCAATGTTTACATTCTCAATTGATGGTTTACCTTTACATGTTATTGAAGTTGATTCAACTATAACTGAATCATATGTTGTTGATTCATTTGCAATCAATGTTGCTCAACGTGTTTCATTTTATGTTGATTTAACTGAATTAGATTCGACATATACATTACCAAATGGATCATTACCTCGATCACTTTTTATTCGAATTAAAGCAGTTAATTCGAATTTCTTTGAAGATATTCTTAATTAATTATCTTCCTCCCTATGAAAATCAATCTTATCCATATCCAACATTTTATACTCCATTATATGTCGCTATTTTATCAATTGATTCAACAAATTCAACTCCATTTTACGCAATTAGTGCAACAACTCCAATCCCCACCAAAACTGAAACAATAATTCCAAATGCAACACATTATTTAAATGTTCATATTACATTTGGTTTGGGTACAGATGGACTTGGTCATGTATTCATCAATAATGTTACCTATTCTTCAGATGCCAATTATATGCATATGAGAGATGATCCAACGATAGGATTTACTTCAGATTTGTATTCGCCATTAGTTTATCAAATGGTCGAAAAAAATCAATGAATTAGGAATTTCATCACCTCTTTTAGAAAATGGAAATTCTTTATCAATTATTCAAAGTGATCAAAATGGACATTATTTAGTTTCTTATAATGCTGTTGTTGATGTTCTTATCAATAATACAGCTGGTGGTGAACATCCATTTCATCTTCATGATTTTACTTTTTGGATAATTGCAACATCTGATTATCCAGATGCTGAAACATTGTATGCAGGAAATTATTTACAATGGGATACGAGCAGT